ACGCCAGCATTCAGAACATGGAGGCCAATCACTGTCCCCCAGACATCCACAGTTAGATTTTTTATATTTTTATCTTTTGAAAATGAAGCGGCGCGTCTATGACCGCGTGCGCCGGCTATCATTCATTCATCCTGTCCGCTGAACTGCTGCTAGTTTTCCTCACATGCCTGGAAGATGTCTAGTGCTGCTACCACAGATGATCTCGCTCTCCAGATGAACCATTCAGATGAGCTAGAATGAATAGTGCTGCTACATCACCATCACTTCATTGTTTGGCCTCTGCAGCCCTCAGCTTTTTTTTTTTTTTTTTTCTAGCTAAGAAAAACAGACTAGTTTTAAGCCTTTAAATTAACTGGTATCAAGTACATTTGCCTTGTTTTTAAGCCTGTTGTTTGCTTGTTTTGAGCAATAATTGGTTACAGGACATTTAATTCTAAGCTGTATTGACTAATAAATGAGAAAAAATCTTAACGAGTAAAAGAAAAAATAGATTTTTCTACTTGATTTAAGTTTTTTTGGATGCTTACTACTTGGATATTATGTTCTTGTTTTAAGAAATCTTACCAAGTCTCATTTGCTTGCTGCACTGGCAGATTATTTTGCTCAAAATAAGCAATTATTCACTTAAAACACTGTATTTTTTTTCTTATTTTTGTTGTGATGACGGCTCGTCAGGAGCATCACCCAGCCTTGGATTCAGAATAACGTTTACGCCATCTTAAAATACAAGCTGGAACCATGGCGGTTCTAGTCAGGGTCCAGCAGGGACCAGTTAGAACTGGTTCTGGTTTAAATGCACACTGAATCAGTTTCCTCTGCTCTGGTTTTAAGTTCTAACCCAGAACAGGATCTTCATCTTCATCCAGCATTCAGCTCCGCCCTCATGCATCCGACTCATCTGAGCCGTGGAGCTCTGCAGCTCCTCCAGAGTCACTATGGGCTTCTGGTCCAGCTGATGCTCCCTTTGATGCCTTTCAGGTCTGCTTTACTATTAAATCAGGAGGAGAACTGGTTGCTGGGATTTATTTCCAGAAAATGTAAGGGTGTGAAAACTTCTGCATCTGGTCTGATGCCGTTTTCTGATTCAGCATCAAAAAGCAGAGAAATTTAAACCTCTGAGAAGCTAAAAGTGATAAACACTTTGAAAAGTGGGAACTTCTCGCTGCTGCAGCGACGCAGGAGGATCAGTGGAAGTTGTTACATGACTGCAGTGCAGTTCAGCGTCGCCCACGTGTTATTTTCTAGGTGAGGCGTGGGAGTGGAGCTGGACTCTCAACAAACTGTTGATCAGCAGCTCAGCTGAACGTTTACCTGGCCTGAACCTCTGATCTTCTGACCTTTCCTTACCTGTGGGAAGCCGGGCACTGCCACGCTGTAGGGGCGCTGCTGTCTGTGCAGCGTGGCGCTGCTCTGTGCAGACATCCGGGACTGCGTGCCGTAATCCGGGCCGGGCAGACTCATGTCCTCTCTCTCCAGCAGGTTGCCAGTGCTGCTGCTTTTCCCAAGATGGAGGCTGGAAAGAAAGAAGAGGAAAGTTTGAAAGCTCCTGCTGCAATTCCATTCTATTCAGTTTATTTCTATAGCTCCAATTCACATCATGTCATCTCAGGTCACTTTCCAGTTCACCAGA